AAAATCAAAGATTATATCATCTAGTTTGAATACATTTTTTATGAACAATCTGTTAAATTTCGAACTACAGTAATTTTATTGTTGTTACTGTGGATTTTTCAAGATGAATATTTCAATTTTGATGAGACATTCCGGAATTTGGGTGAACGAATTGCATTATGAAAGTTACAAAATCGACGGAATCGTTGTTGGAGATTCTATATGTATCATCAAGCACAGATGACGCAGTTATTAAACTTAGTGAATGATACATTATAACAATTTTCAAAACATGTATCAGTACATCAACTAAACAACTAATACCTTACTGATACATGATATCAGTTATCAGAAAATTCATACTACATGAAAAACATGTGATACATATATACTACATGTATCAGTGCAATGACTAAACATTATAACATGTGGTACATATCTAATACATGTATCAGTACATCGACTAAACACTATACACACTGATTCTATATGTATCATCAAGCACAGTTGATGACTCAGTTATTAAACTTAGTGAATGATACCTCAGTTATTAAACTTAGTGAATGATACATTATAACAAATTTTCAGAACTTCATGATACATGATAATAATTTTCAGAACTTCATGATACATGATAATAATTTTCATGATTTTTTGATACATATTGGATTCCTTAAAATTATTACTAATTTCAACAACATTTTTAAGTACCAAAATACTAACCCGAGACAATGTAGGCCTAACAACAATGTTTGCTGCTTTTTTTTTCTTTTTTTGTTGTATTTTGATAACCTTTAATTTTGATGTTTCGCCAAAGTCTTTGTTTGAATCCTTCTGAAGATTCATAGGATCATGCAAAAACTTTTTTCTATTTTCTTTCCAATTTTCATCGTTGGAATCATATATCTTTCTATTAATTAACGGATCCATTACTATGATGTAATAGAACAATTAACAAAAACAAAAAAGGGAAGAAAAGAAGACCTGATGATGGATTAAGAAGAAAAAGATGCTGGGTTAAAACAATGATGGATTAAGAAGAAAAAGACGATGATGGATTAAGAAGAAAAAGAAGAAACCAATAAAATATGCTGGGTTAAGAAGAAGAAAGACGATTATGGAGAAAGAAGAACTGAAAACGTGATGGAGTAAGAACTGAACGGGAGAGAAATTGTCCAAATTTTTGAAATTTCAAATATTTTGAATTTTGAAATTCAAAATTTCAAAATTGGGTGTTTTAATTAAAATTAATAATTCAAAATCCAAAAACTGATTTAAAAGGTTGAGTGTTTTAATGGAGAAAATTCAAAATTCAAAAACTAATTTAAAAGGTTGAGTGTTTAAATGGAGAAAAAATAGGCAAGGTAATTGTGTATTATAAGAAAGAGAATGTTATGTATCTATAAACTTATACTAAAATTAAAAAAAAAAAAGAATTATGTAATATTTAAAAAAAGAAGGGAAAATTAGAGAATATAAAACTTATAGTTATGTATTTAAGTTATTTTTCCTTCTGATTATGTCCGGTATTATTTGTCATGATTTTTATTTTTAGAGTTAAATTATAAAATTTTTGATTAACAATTTAAGATGTATTTTTTAATCATATTAATATGCAAAAAATTATAATTTGTAGTACTTTTTATATAATTTTAAAATATTTAATTTTTTAATTTAAAATATCTAATTGATATGATCTAATTTATTTTAAAAATTAGTTAAATTAACTTTTAATAAATGTAACATGACAAATAATTTTAGATTGAGAAAGTATTACTAAAAATGATTTTCCCAGAAAGTTGAGCCTCGATCGTGTCATATCATAGATATAATTAATGCAAATTAACAATGATGAAAATCATGCTAAACTTGAAGATGGCACAAATTACTATGGTTTCCCTTCTTTTTTTCTCGTGGTATTTATATTTTTCTAAAAAAGTAAACGTTCTATTCTATGATGCCCAAAAGCTCATAATAACAACTTCCCTTTTTAACTTTATAATAAAAAGAATAGCACGTTAAGAATACATGATCCCTACCTGTTTATAACTTCACACACACAAAAAAAGTAATTTCCTATGTTTACTTTTATTTTGTGCAATATTTCAAAAACAAATTCCACAGCTACTTTATAACTTTTAACATATTAAGAAAAAAATAATTATTTTGAGTTCAAAAGAAGTTAAATTCGTAGATATCCCCGACTTAAGCTCCATTTGCTTGGCCTGATTTTCAATCCTTTTTGTTTCACGGATGGACAAATCATATTTTTAAGAACTAATTTTACCATTTTTATTAGACGTCGAAAAAGTTTCAAGACGCTTTAATTTTCTCTCAAATTATTAAACTGTCGCATCTCAACTAGTCCTCAAGTGGTATGCATGTGTTGGGTGGCGCCTCTCGAGATTGTTACAAACAGCCTTGTTTATATATACCATCTTGGGGGGTCAAAAATAGCCGAACATTTAAGAAAATAGACTCAAAATTATTTAAATTGAATTTAATTTTAACACGTTATAACTTTAATTCATTTTAAGAAAATGCTTCATTGAATTCAATTTAATCTTTAATTTCAGCCAATTTTAATACTCTTCATTTGCATTATCTTTCTATTAGAACTATTTTTTTTGGAAAAATTATTAAATAAAATTCAAATTGTGTTTAAATTTAGTAAATAACAATATATTAATATAATCGAGACTAAGCGAGTCATGACAAAACACAATTTTAGCCCATTTGAATAAAATATATTTAAACTCAAAACAAAATGAGCAAGTCAAGACTCAACCTATTTTAATATATTCAATGAAGACACAACCATCCATTTAACACCCCAATACCATTTATAAGAATTGGTTAACTTTATGTTCACTTTATATGCTATGATGTAAAACTCATTCAAAAAAACTTGCAATAATGTTGCACAATTTGAAATCATTCAATCAAATGGTGATAGAAAAACCAAAATCACAAGAGCATATCTTAAACTAAATATGAATGTTCAGCTAAACAGAGCAGCATAAGCAGGTATCCATGATCACCATTCACCAGCAAGTAGCAAATACAAGAACAGAACACATAAGAATTTTGCAAACATAAACTCGATTGGATCCGAGTCTACAAAGGGAAGCACATACATATGAATTATAAAATGTGACATCCACCTTTCCTAGAGTCACTTTGAAGACGCTCGAATTGCTGTCTCAACTTACGCATTTCATACACAGATTTTGCGCAAGCAGCTTCAGCTTTCTGTTTTTCTGCTATCCTATCAGCACGCTCAATAGCCCATTGTTCAAAAAGAATATTTGTAATCTCCTTCAGCAATGATGTAAACTGTTGAACATGAAAATATATGATCAAATTCAATGAAGTAGCAAAATCAACATTTCTAATCAGAAAAATGCAAAGTTAAGCTTCGCGTAAAATTCAACTGTAGTGAGCCAACTCCATGCATTTAACAATTTCTTTACCTATAACGTCAGGCTCACCAGTAAAATCAAACAATCCTGAAGTTAAAAACAACCTCAGCATCAGTAGTGATCAAATATTACCACCTAATCTGATTAGTCCAATTACAATATAAAAGAACTCTTGATGTAGCAAATAAATTCATTAGAGTAGAAGTATAAATCAGTGAAAGGAGTTTGTATATATATTACCAGGGGTGTCTATGACATCAATGATCAAACCGTTATCTAGTCGAGTAGTCTTAAGTTCACAAGCAGATGTAACACCATTTGAGCTACACTTGGAATTGAATTCTTTACTTCCAAGTATAGAATTCCCTGTAGCACTTTTTCCGTTACCTGTTCGCCCAAGCAGGACTAGTGTCCGTTTTTCATTATTAGTAACTTCCCAATCGTTACTTCCACCCATTTTACCTTACTGAAATCAAAACTTAATAGATTATTAACAAACAAATGAAATAAGCAAAATTGGAACAACAAAAACAAACAACATTGTGCTGACCTTGATAAAGAGAGCTCAAGTGTGTAATACAGAGAGTTTGAGCAATCCTGATGAGTATAAATAAATGGGGGGGGGGGGGGGGAGAGTAAAGAGTGCATGGGGCTTATCGTTCTCCAATACATTCACTTAGCAGCTTGATTCAACCTCGGGACACTTAATAGTCCAGCTTTTGAGCTACTCATGGCCATCTATCTCTAAAGGTGATAAATAAAGGTAAAGAGGACTGTTTTTAACTTAAACTGATCAGTTTCCTAGAAATTAAGATATATTCTTACTAATTTATCATTAATTAGAGGTAACTGGTCAGAATTAGGTTTTAAGCACGTTCTTTCGTTTGATTCAATTCTCAAAAACTAAGTTTTACAGCTCGCGCAGTTCAGGCGTTGAGCCAAAAAGATGAATAAAATCATTTAACTGTCATTTTTAACATAAAATTTACTCAGCTTTGCCTGAATGTTACTATAAACTAAGATTAATATAGAAAAACAAAAATGTGTTGGCATGATCACATATTATTCTTTTAAGAATAGGAGTACAATTTTAAAGCCTGAAAATTATTGCAATAACTCGGATATGTTCAAGATCGAGATAGTTTTGGTTAACCAATTAATGTGGCTTTCGAGATACAACAATTATTAGAAAATAATCGAGTAAGGGCCGTAGCTATGGGTGCGAAAGACTGTCAAACGAGAGGAATGGAAATTGCTTGGCAAAGGAGCATTATAAGCGTTCTAGTTAAGGAGTGAGCGGCAACTTTGCAACTGCATTGGCAACCGAGCTTGTATACAACAGGTGTGTCCAGTTTACTGTTATGTGTTAAAAAGAAAGTTCAATGTTTAAATAATATTTATAAAAATAGAAAATTCAAAATATTTGCATGTGCTTCAAACGGTTCAAATCTATTTTAAGGTGAAAAATTAGTTTGATCTATACTCTCTATATATATATATACACATATAGTAAACAATTTCTAAAAGATCATGAATTTCATAATTTTGTTATCAAATATTTTCATCAAATGAGAAAGTATACTACAGAAAACATATGCATCAAGTATAAATAAGACGCATATTGGTAGGAAATATTCCCCATTTTTTTGCTTTGGGTTCCTCAGACATCACGCTTAAACTCATATATTCCAATTTCTTTAGAGCTTCTTCTGCATTCTGTTCTGCTTGCAACCGACCATCACGCTCTTTTGCCAACTCAGTTTCAAGATGCCTCATCTCCCGCAGCTTAGATTCAAGCTGTTAAACACAAAAACGTACAAGAATATCATATATACAAGGTACTAAATCAGTCACGAACTACCAAGATATCTTACTTGAGCTATTTGGGACGGAGAGGAATCCAAACTTATTCTTTTTAATTTGTAAATATACTCATTAGTCCTTGCTATCTATGTACTTGAAACATAACATCTGATAACTTACCTTTAATTCCATGTACAGGACTCTTATATATGGTTTTCCGCTATTTTTTTCCACAACCAAATTAACTTGTGAAATAAGATTTCTCAATTGTAAATCTTTCTTCACCTGATCCTCAGTCTTATTGTCGAAAAGTACATGTCTATTGCCACATATTTCTAGAGTATCCTGTAAGGGAAGTATAAATAATTCATTTAGATCACACTCAGGAGCAAGCGATTTTAAGTTCTTTTTTTTTTTTTTATAAACATACACTGTTACTTGAAGAACGCTAAAACACAAATAAATAAGAAAGTATGATCTGCCAGTTTAATTGCATAACCTATATGTAACTAATCTAACCTTTAAAGGCTCAGGGCAATTGTCCAAGTATTTCACCAGAATCTCATCATTTTCTTCATTAAACTCATCTCCTCCGGTGAAGACCACAATCATGTAATCAACAATTTTTCTCTCAAAGAGGTTCATAAAGCATTGCACACAAGCTTGTTCTTCTCTTGAAAACCGAGTTTGCACAGACAGAACTAAAAGTACAGCAGTGATGCCATCCTTGGCCAGATCAAAGCACTTATCAAGTTCTTTTATAACAAAATCAGGATCACGAGAAATATCAAACAGTCCTGCAATTTCCAGATTACACAATTAAACAAGATGCCGGACTTGAAAGCTTTCAATCCTACTATATATAAACGAAGAAATTTTGCTATATATATATACACACCAGGGGTATCAATGACGTTAAGTAGGTTTCCGTCTTGTAATTGACTACTCTGAAGCTGGGAATCAGTTGTAACACAAGAAGAACAATGCATCGATTTGAAAGCTTTAGTTCCAAGAATACTATTTCCTGTTGCACTTTTTCCATCACCAGTACGTCCAACCAGAAGTAGTGTGCGCTCTTCATGGCTGAGTCAGATTATACTATAAAACAGAGCCAGGACAAGTTTAATTCAACCTTTTTTTATAAATTTGTTATCAGAAAACACATGAAGATCATTCCGTTGATAGATTAAAATATCAAAGAAAAATAATAGTAAACGTTGATCAATTATTACATATTGTATTCACAGTTCACTTATTATTTATTTGTTTTATTTCAACTGTAATTTTTTTTTATGATATATTACACCAACATTATATTTATATAAATCATAGTTTCAATTATATCATTTCAAATCTTATGTTATTGACATTGTGTGTCTAGAAATTTATAATTGCTATGGTGAGATGCGATTATATAAAGGTATAAATTTTTGTAGGCATTAGTACTTAAATTTTATATATATATATAAAATTAGCAAAAGTATTTTAATATTTTATTTTATATGAAATAATATAATATATTTCTTATAAAATCTTCTTATCGTACCTGCCCGATTCACAAAAATGTACTGCTATAAATTATAATGTATACCAATACTATCAAAAATAAAACTAACTTGAAAAAAATGAGAAAATCAGATCATATTATAATGAACGGTTTTGTTATAATCCTAATTCCTATCAACTCACGTGGATAGCGCATGCACAAGTTCTCAAAATTACGCTTAGGTTCACGGTATACCCAAAAATATTTCAAAAGGGGGCTTCTAAAAGCGAATTGAATCAATTGGAGCTCCGAAAAATATCAAAATCTTCAAAAGAAGGCCAATTCCGTTCTCCTCTCTTTATCGTGAACACTTTCGCCGGTTGATTTCATCGATCGTCGTTCAATCATCACCTGCAAATGGAAATGGGAATAGAATCGGCTACTCCGAAGTCCGATCACGTCGCCGGAATGGCTTTGAACATTCCGGTGAATGATTCGAATTATGCGACGGCGTTGTTCCTCCCTAGACGCCTTCGCCGACGCCTTCTTGAAACCAAAACTCCTTCCATTATTACCGCCCAAGATATTGAAACCAAGCTTAAGGACGCCGAATTACGTCGTCAGGTAGTTATACTTTTCCTGTTCGTTTTCTTTTGTTCCTATTATATAATTGTTGCAAATATGTGATCCGTTTTGCTAGGATAGGGAATTTTTAGGTTAATTTGACTGCTGTATGCATAATTAGTGATAGTAGAATGAAAATTATTATAGAAATGGTTGAGAAAATGAATTTGCATTCTTGACTATTTATTAATGAACTGGTATTAAGTAAGCAAAGTTCTGGATATGGCATACGGGAAGCAAAGTATTACTCAAGGCTATAGGTTTTTTAATGATGTGCCATTTGGAAAGATCAAAGTACTACTCCAGGATATAGGTCTTCACAATGGCAGATACCCAACAAGAATGGAACTTGTTTTAGTAGTTTATTCAAATTGAAGAATGTTAAATAAAAACTTAGTATTGTGTAGTCGAACATTGTAGCTTCAAGTGGGATTTCTAATTATATTGTTTGAATAATTTTGTCTAGTCCAGATGTTTAATAGAGGTTTTTGTCTATTTCAGATATGCTAAGAGAATTGATACTTAACATCAGTAAATCTCTGTTCTGTATCTACCAAGGATATATAATTATTGAAGAAAGTCTAGTACACTTGGATATTTCGGAATGGTAGTGAGGCTAATGACTTCTGCTTAGGATTCTTTAATGGAATGAAGGATTTTTTTTTTCTTATTATTCTTGGTAGAAACAACAAACGTATCAACTACCATAGGGAAGTTTTTAGGAAAATATCAACCATCAGTAGTTTATTAGATTCCTAAATTCATCCTGAATTTTTATAAACTTGAAACTGTAAACCACACTGCATTCATGTGAGCCATTGACTAATAAGGTAGAAATTTTGTGTGAAGTAAATAGAAAGAAAAGAAATAGATATGAAGGTAAGGTAAAAAAAAAGGAAGACATATTGGATTGGTAGACATGATGACTTTATAAGGTCATATGAGTTCCTTGTTAAGGCGACTTAAAATCTTATGTTAAATCATCTATTTTTTCATTAAAAAAAGAAACTCATTTACTATGTTAAAGTCAATTCTAGCAGTATACTGTGCAAGGTAAAAAAAAGGAAGACATATTGGATTGGTAGACATGATGACTTTATAAGGTCATATGAGTTCCTTGTTAAGGCGACTTAAAATCTTTGTTAAATCATCTATTTTTTCATTAAAAGGGAAACTCATTTACTTTGTTAAAGTCAATTCTAGCAGTATACCACGCACAATATTGCTTTAGGTGATATTAAGTATCTACTTATTTTATTATGTTTATCCAGAGCAAGTTCAAATGAGATGCAAAACAGATGTTTTCTTCCGCCAATGCATGATAATCAGAGCTTTAAATTCGAATTTATGGATTCTTTTATTTAATTCACCTCATTTTAATTGTTTAGTTGACAATTGGGTTAAAAATGAAAAACCTATTCATGATGGCATTTTAGAAGAATATGTGTGGCTCATATTAGTATTGTTCAGAAATTTGTCAACTTGCCTAGCTCTTTTACAATACAAGATATAGAATGGTATTACCACAACGAATTTGAACCTAAAAATATAGTCCGATGGTTTACTTGATTAAGCCAAGTATTTGCTTAACATGGCGAACAATCCAACTTTTGTCAGAACTTGTAGTTGAGTATTATGCTTAGGCATTTTTTAACTTGAACTAAGTTGCCTGGCTGCTTTTGATGGTTTAGAGCATATGAAGGAATTTATCAATATGTTATTATGCGTGATGTGGTAAGTCTATGTTGAGTTGTTGACCAAACATTATTAAAATGCAGCAATTTTATGAGTTATTGTCAAGCAAGGCACGGCCGAAATTGAGATTGTCGACATGCTCATTTTCGCAGGATGGGGAGCTTAGAAAGCAACTAGAAGCCAAGCTTCTTGCTGCTGAAAAGAAGAGGTAAACTGTTCGGGCTTCTTTATATTTGTCAATCTCCTTCATCAAACATAAGTATTTGGACAATAGTGTTATACTTTTTTTTATTGGTAAAAGAGTGTCATAACTCATACGTGCATCATGTTATAAGCTGATCTGTGATGATTTAAGAAATTAAGCCTTTAATGTTGCATGTATAACTTATGGATTCCTTTCCCTTACTAAATGGTTTCCTTTTGATTTTCCAGTTGGGAAGGGCTGGAGTGAGTGTTGCTCATTTCTTGTCTGTATAAATTCATCATTCTTGAGTTCTTTTTGACAAATTTTCTTTAACATAGTAACTGAGTTACTAGGTTTTTGTTTTGCTCAGTAATGTGTAAATGAGTACACAGGAAAAAGTACAATTGGCTACCCAAAAACTCATTTACTATGTTAAGGTGGTGGCAATTGGTTCGATCATTGGGTTGAAGGGTGAGAAAGTTTTGGTACTCTGAAAGATCTATGAGTTGCTATTCTTTTAACCACAACTAGATAAGTTGGAGTAAAAATTAGCCATCTCCAATTTGTATTAGTTGTAACCCAAGTGGCATCGTGGACTTTGTGTGAAAGAGAATAAAGGATAAGGATGAGAAGTGCGAACTTGGCAAAATGTGAGAACTGTAAATCTGTAACGAATGTGATTAACTTTGGGTAGGGGTAAGATTTCAATGCGAAATGACAAGTCGAAACCCAACCTGTTGTTTTACTGGTAGGCCCAGTCCAATTATTGTACATACAACTTTTATAGGCCTCAAATTCAGTTATGGTTTGCTATTGGCTTTGTACTTGTTAAGCAGGTTGAGCATCCTTGCGAAAGTTCAGAAGCGCTTGGCAAGATTAGATGAGCTTAGACAAGCAGCTAAAAATGCTGTGGAAATGCGTTTTGAGAAAGAACGTGATGAGCTTGGCAATAAGGTTGAGTCACGAGCTCAGCGGGCAGAATTGAACCGGAGGGTTCTTCTTAAATGTAGGCAATGGAAGGCTGCAAAAAGGGAACGAATTTCACAGTTGCTAACAAGGAGGGTAATGCAAGAGAGCAAATACAGGGAGTGTGTTGGGGCTGCTATTCATCGGAAGCGGGCTGCTGCTGAAAAGAAGAGACTGGGATTTCTGGAAGCAGAGAGATCAAAGGCACGTGCAAGAATAGTACAAGTTAAGCAGATAGCAAACTCTGTATATCGTCAACGGGAGATTGAGAGGATAAGACTAAAAGATCAACTGGAGAATCGTCTCCAAAAGGTATGTTGTTAATCTAATTGAACGCGAAAGGTTACTATGTATTCTATTAAGGAACTCAACATGAATAGGAGGCCAAACAGTGGAAAAAGCTTTCTGAGGGAATTTATAATTGATACAAAGACTTAAAGAAGCACTCTGCAAATTTATTTTTTTGAAACTAGTGACTTTTGTATTCCTCAGCATTAAGGGCTATGCTGGCCACCTCCAAAAAAATATCATCGAAAAAGACAGAAAGATCCTATAAAATCCACTAATTGGATCTCCTCCTCTATATCTTGTTCTTTTTACCAAAAACCTACTACAGTGATAATTTTCCACTATCTTTTGTATAGACTATAGCTCATTCCTTTGCTTAAAAAATTCTTGGATTTTTTTTAATCCAGATGTTCCACCAAATACATGCTGGGACTCTTTTCCACTACCTCAACTGACTCTTGTTTCCTCCCCTTCTGATCCATTAGCTTAGTAAGTCTGCTGTGTGTTCTGGCATGACCTAGTTAATATTGGCTTTATTGGTAAATAAATCCCTCCTCTTCTGCATAGCCTCATGAGTCCAGTAGGCTCTTCTGGCTACCAACCAAGTGAAGCATTTCACTTTAGTTGGGGCCACATGCTTCCAGCTTTTTTCCCAAGGACCTACACTTCCAAGTAATCCTCAGTTGTAAATTCTGTTTACAGATGTATGTCCCCACACTAATCTGTCTGGTTCTAGATTAGTGCCATGGAATCCCCCTATCAATTTCAGAAGCACTCTGCACTTTTTTTTTCAATCTAACATCAGAAGCAATAGAGCTCAAGTAGTTGAACATCCTTGGGTATAATGGCGATTGAAAATCACATTAAAAATCAAAAAGAGCATTTGACATAGTTTGACATGCTATATGAGAGCATCTAGTACTACATCAAA